ATCAGTTGCCAAAGTGTCTCCGAAACAAATCTTCCCCACCCGGGTATCCCCTCTACAATCTCTAGTGACAGAGGATCACATTATACAGGAAGTCGAAAAGGCAACACGTTAGTCAAAGACTCTGCTACCTTTCCATCCTCAGTCATGAGGCGCCATAGAAAGAACCAACAGCATCCTCAAGACCGAACTGTCTAAACTGAAGAATTAGACTTCCATGGCCACAAGTGCTGCCCATTGCTCTTATGACTCTCAGATCTTCACCCCTATCTCCATGTAAGCTATCCCCTTTTGAAATTATCATGGAAGGACCCAGGAGGAAGCCTTATTCATCTTGTCTAGTGGAAAATTCTAACTTCATTCAATCCTACATCCTTAGATACTGTTGAGGATTAACAAAATACACTTAATCCTATAATCAACAGGTCAAGGCTTCCCTTGACTGCCTTCCCTCTAGAACTTCCTGATCATCCCTGGCGTGACTTACCAGCAGGCCATCTGGTATTCTGGAAAAGCCACCATCAGAAGACTAATCTTGAGCCCAAATGGAAGGGACCTTATACCATTTCACTCATTTTTAACACTGCTGTCAAATTACAGGGTGTTCAACCTTGGGTTCATGTTTCACAACTAAAGAAACACAAGAGCTATTCAGACTGGAGAAGTATTCCAAGTGGAGACCTCAAACTGAGGCCCTATCATGTGCCTCCAGAAGCAGATGACAGCCAGGAGCAGACAGCTGCCCCAAAACCATGGGACCGAGTAGACGACGTGAGGAGGTAGCCAACTTCCACTCAAGACCAGGGAACCAGACCCACCTGGTCCCTCCTTCCTGCTCTGCTTCTTTATGCTGACCATTCGCCTAGAGACCCTCCCGTTCTTCCCGCAGGACCTCCCTGCCTTCACTAGGACTTTTCCTCACCTGGGACGGGTCTTCACCTTCATTTTTCTGTCCCTGAATTTAGGAGTTCCTGCTCCTCTCTCACGCCTCACTTTTCCCTGCCTCTCAGCAAGACTATTTTGCTCACAGAAACTTTAAGCTTGGGCTGAATGAGTCGCCACTTCCCACAATGCTACAGACTAATGGACCTGTCCTCCCTGTCCTGTGGGCACATCTGGCACTTCCCAGATCCCTTTGATCAACCAGTATACCACTTTTGCTGTGACCCTTCTCTTGTTCTCTCCACTGTTTTAAACTGTGAGAAACCCCCGCACTATTCCAGTCTGTCCTCACAGGGTCATGTCTGCTTCCATCGTAATTTTCCCGTGGGCCCCTTTCTGAGAATGAGCATTCATCATTACACTTACCTAGCTGTTGCTAGATCCAACATAAAGCCCCCAAATCGCTATAGGTTCTCTGGATATCCCTCGTATGAATGGGAATGCCCCTCGTAGCCTCATTTCTCGGACCCAGCCCAACCACACATGGACCACCTCCCACAAATCACTTCCCCACCTTCAAAATTAACATTCTTTGTGGGCCGGCCCCGTGGCTTGGTGGTTAAGTGCACGCGCTCCGATGCTGGTGGCCCGGGTTCGGATCCCGGGTGTGCACCGAGGCACCACTTCTCCGTCCATCCTGAGGCCGAGTCCCACATACAGCAACTAGAAGGATGTGCAGCTATGACATACAACTATCTACTGGGGCTTTGGGGGGAAAAAATAAATAAATAAAATCTTTAAAAAAAAAAAAAAAAAAAAAAAAATTAACATTCTTTGGTTACCCTTGGCCATCAGACAACTATTTCTATGACTCCTGGCTAACTCCCGATGATTCTCATTTTGTCTGTGGAACCCAGACTTATTGGCTGTTACCTGCCACCTGGATGGGGTCTTGCTGCCTTGCCAGTCTTACCAACCCCTTCATCCATCCCCACCACCTTCTTCCTTCCTTAAACTATCTTTAAAACAATCACTTCCCCAGATTCACCTCGCTCTCACTATAGGAACAAGAGGTATTCAGGACATCATGGATCCCCTTGTAGGTGATCTCGGTTCCTGGGGAGGCGATTCAGAAAAAACAGCTACAGAACTGGGCCTAAGTTCCATCCACGACCTCAATACTTTTTGGGAAAAAGTTTGCCACATTTTGGGTACCATCCCCAGGAATCTATCGCCTGGCTCAAGAAGTTAGACTCAACAACAGAATCACCTACTCATTGCTGATGCAGTTTACGGTGTCCCTGGATAACATCACCACTGCCTTCCAATGGGTGACTCGCCAACTACAAGAAACCCAGCGTGCTGTTCTCCATAACTGCCTCACCTTCGATTTGACCCTGGCCGCAGAAGGGGGCACTTGCACAGTGGTCAGAAGCAACTGCTCCCCCTTTGTTGCTGGCAATCTACCTGACGTCTCTGCCATACACAAGAGGGTTCGAGAGGTGAACAAAGAAATTGCATCACTGCCATGGCGCTCGCACCACCAAGGAAGGACAACAGGTCCCGGGACTTCTTTTGGTAGATCCCTGAAGATTTACCAAGTTGGGCACGCAGATCAATTCAACCTCAAATCTTCGTCTTTCCATTTATCTTCAAGGTATCCATCTCGTTAAATGTCTTGTGGGTCATACAGGACAGCAATTATCAACCATCACCAACTCTCAACAGGTGGTTCCGCTGGTTCTAAAAGAATAAAAGGCGAGCAAATGAGAAATGGACTTATATTGTTCAGAGGAACGAAAAAGGCCTCTTCTTTCCTTGAGCAAGAGGGGAGCCTGACAAAGATTCTTTGCTTCACCCAACTTGAGTCAGGCTGTCCTGACCCCTCTCCCCAACAAGGCCCCTCCCTGTACTTCCTTCTAGAATCCAGTTTTAGCAAGAATCCTGCTAAGTCAGTTTAGGAGAATGCCCCACTCTGATATCTGATCAGACTCCGCATCCCCACTGCCCCCAGATGATCTCCCATCACCCCGCCTGCCTTCAGTCAGAATCCCCCAGACTTGATGTCTCCTCTTAGTATTTTGCCATCCACCAATTCCCCTCCCCTCCAGCTTGCTAATTTGCTCCTTGTCTGTGAATCTCCACTTGTTCTAGCTGCATTCAGATTTGGGCCCAGTCCTATACTGGAGTCTCTCTTCCCCTATTGCAACAGTTTTTTGAATAAAATCTATCTTCCCACTTTAACTTCTGTGTCTGTTCTCTTTAACAGTGCTCTTTTTCTCCACCTGGCAGGTGGGTGAAGAGGCCATTTCTAAAGCTCTGCCAGATCTCTGCTGGTTTCCGGGAGGTGAGGCCACTGGGCAGACCCAGGGCCTGCTCTGGAGAAACCCGCCCTCAGGTAAGGAAAGCTCCCATTTCCGGGGCTGGGAGGTGGCCCAGGAGAGGGAAGGTCTCCGCCCTCAGGCCCTCTGCAGGCGCCTTCACCTTCTGACCCCAGGGCAGACAGTCTGTTGGGCCAAGACTGCCCTTGGTCTGGACACGCAGCCTCTGCAGACCTTAGAACTAGGTCCTGCACCTCAGGCCTTCTGCATCCATACCGCCTGGATCTCAAGCTACACCTGGAATAGAATTAAATCTAGCGCTTTAAGCTCCGCTCCCAGAGAAGTTGCCCACCAGCCCGGCACCTTGTCGGCGACACTGTCACATTTCACTTGCCCAAAATAGTGTCCTCTGCTTGGACACCTAATGTGTGCTAGGCCAGGAATGGGAAGCATACCAACACTCACCCAGCCCTTTGCCCCACAGTCCAGATAAGGACATGGAGGCTCAGACAAGTTAAGTAACTTGCCCATCTCCATGCCGCGGGTTAAGTGGCAACGCGGGACGCCAACCGTGTCCCTCCCAAACCTGTGCTCTGTCTCACCACACTGCACACCCAGGGTACCATACCCCAATTTGCAACAGAGGTAAGTCACTGAAGAGCCAAAGACACCTGAGGCTTTTGAAAAGAGGCCTCAGGCCAACAAATCTCTAAATTTTTGTTTATCTTTTTTTTTTTTCTTTTTTAGCCTAGACAAGACACTCGGGTCCCTCCTACCCCGACCCTCCTTCCCGCCCACCACGGCCTCAGTATCCCCACCCACCCAGCGGATGGGAGAAAAAGGAGTCTTCATTTCTCCTTGCTCCCTCCCTCTGTGGGAGGTGTCTTTGGGGGTCAACCTCGCTCCCCTAAAGCAAGGATGTGACGGGGGCGGGCTGGGGGGTATTCCCGCCGTCTGGAAAGAGTAAAAGGGCGCCGGTCCCACTCCACCGCCGGCACCTGCTACCAAGAAGCCTCTGGCCGAGGTACCGCCCCCGGTCCCCGCCGGGGTAGGCGCACAGAGAGAGCACTGGCCCTTTAAGAGCGGCGCGGCCGCGGCGCGCGGGGCGGAGGGCTGGGAGCGCCCCGAGCTGCGCCGAAC